AGCTTTGGTACTTAAAAGTTCTTAGGAAACTGTGACAAAGAACCATAACCTTAGGAAGGGATATCAAACAATGAGATTCAAATTCTTATACAACAAGAGAAGTTCGGAACGGTTGATTGTTCGCCCGTTGTCGTGAAAAGTGTACGTCTATGTAAGATTTATGTAAGACGGTCTCTACGGACCGGAAATATTGATTAATTAACGAGGACTATTACATGGGCCGCGGTTATGTTAAGACATGGTCCATACGTATTTTACTATATAATTAACTTTGCAATAAACTATACTATTAGGAAACACTAGTAATTAACAGCTCATCAACAATAATGAAAAAAATATATTTGTAAACTCAGACTTTAATTAAAAAAATATATATATATGTGTTGTACCTTATACAGCATATAAATTGTAAATACCATTGTTTGACTAAAAGTTAGGTTATGTAATGGTAAATACCATTGTTCGACTAAAGTGTTTTTTCCTGTCACCTTGTATTTAAAATGTGATCGAATGAGAGTTGTGAATGCAACAATTGCAAACAATTTTACAGTTACACGAATTTATTAATGACACATAATGATTTATGTAAATATAATTGATGCAAGAAAATAATTTCTTTCATGATAAATTTCTTACGAATTTTGCAAGGTACACATATTTTATTTGTATTATGTTCAAACATTGGAGATTGCTCTAATAAGTCACCTTGTATGTATGCTGTAGTCACATCTGTATGCAACAGTCTACAAGATTGCATCGCGCCAAGTAATCCTCCCAACGTTGCTAGCGTCGCGCCGTCACCGACATGGCGTCTTTAATGTCAGAAGCTAGCGAAAAAGAAACCAGGGGGAACATGGTAGACAGCAGAAGAACATTACAGACAAGGAGAATTGCAAAAAAGTATACGAATGAAATCAATTGTAGGAATGTAAGAATGAAAAATAGAGGAAAAGTTTTATTTATTGAAAATAAGTGAGGAATAAAAAGTTTCAAAAATAAATGGATACTATTGCTGCAACAATAAGAAAATATTACATGAAGATGATAAAAGATGAGTAAAAAAATTATAGGTTAGATCACCTACAAAAAATTGAAGGTAACCTTGAAAATTTCGAAAAAAAATGTCGATCGGTTCACTAAGAACAGAATAATCAAAATTGATCGCGGTATGCGGTTCACCCTGTATAGTATTACGTTCCTTTTACTTTAATAAAAACACTGATCCTCACTAACAGACGTTATTACGTGAGAGGAAAATTTGGATCGTATAGTTCGCTAAGATTAAAGGCTAAAACACAATTACTTCATAAATTCTGATATTTATTATCAGCGTTATAATTGAAAATATACTTCGACATTTCTCGTTCGTTTAATTGAAACACCGAACTTTCGAGTAAACGTAGAAAAGTGATGTGAGGAAAGAAGAAGAGAACGATTGCAGCCAAGTGGTTGCAAAGTGAACTAAAACGAGGAAAAGTAGAAGGTTAGAAAAATCATAACGATAAAATCAAATCAGGAAGATCGTGCTGAAATGTAGAGAGATATAAGAAAAAGAATAACAAAGAGTAAAATAATGGAGACCAAACAGAGAGATAGATAGATAGAGAGAAAGAGAGAGAGATAGTTGGAGAAAAGAAGAAGAGGGACAACATAGATGAGTTGAGAGGAGCGAAGAGAAAAGCAAGTTTACGATGAGTGGGGGGAGTAAGGGGAGCGCTGCAGACGCGCCTCAACAAGGGTAAATGTACGTACGAATGCACCCCGGATTGGCTTTCGGGTGGTTTCCATGGAGACCAATTCGCTCGGCCCGGGGAATTCGCCGCCGTCATCGCTGCCACGGGCACCACCGCCACCGCAGCTTTCCTGGAAAATCGCATTGCGTTTCAAACTCCAAAAAGTTCGAACCGGCTATTCGACATATGTATTTGCCTTGATTTCTCCGTCTCTCTCTCTCTTTCACCCTACCTCCGTTCTGTCCCCTTCTGCCCCTCGACTGTACCTTTACCTAATCCTCGTGAACGAAAATATTTGACGAAACAGATCGGTAAACATATAGTGGACAAAAACGGCTGTGCAAAAATTGATTATCGAGTAACACCGCAAATATCGATAGATAGCGGATACATTGTACGAATGAGAAGTTGGGAATATTCGTTTGCTTCAATAGTGCAATTTCAATCCGATATGTTTCCGTTAGCTATGAAAACCGTGTAGAGGAGTTTTATACGCTGTGAATCGTAGAAAATGAAAGCGATGAAATGAAATTGAAGTTCTCTCGCGGCAGCCTTTCAAAGACTGCGAATTCTGTATGAATAAGAGAAATCTACGTGTTTGTTGTTTCTATTACGACGAAGGCTTGACACTTTTATGAAAATGTTGATGGAAATGTAAAGGATGAATATACTGAGAAATTTGTATTTTTTTTCTTTTTCAGAGATTTATCGCAAGAAAGTATTTAAGAAGAGATCGATATGCGAGGTATCGATTGTCAAGTGTGCTGATGAATTAAGTAATTATGTGAGCTGGCTGCAAAGGTTTTGAATATTGATTTTTTTGAAAACAAAGTTAGTTATGTTAATGACGTTAGAGAGACAATTTTTGATTTATAACTTTCGATTTATGTGTTACGCCCTACTATAACTCATTAACTCGGGTACAAATAAAGCAATAATTTGTTATGGAAATTTTTAACTTATACAGGGTATTGAAAATATTTCGAACATTCTAATATCAATAGTTCTTTTTTTCTTGTAACTGGAAGAGAAAGCTATCTATACCGTAAAGCAATACACGTAAGGAACATATTAATTTTATCTACGATATTCATCCCCTTAAAGTTGATATTCAATAGTGTCCCCCAGTTTGGACACAAAAAATCACTGGATAAAAATCATCTCAGAATCAATCCTACCAAACATTTTTTCACAATAATAAAATTAATAAAATTGCAATTTATGTAATTTTATATACGATATTAGTATAACTGTGATGTATCTAGGTGGATCATCCTCTTAAATATCAGCGTTTAGCTTTAAAAATTTCAGATCCGGAAATTGTGTTGATAAGTAATCTTAGATCCGTGCAAACTTGATTTTAAAGGGAAAAGGTCCTGTGCAGGGATGAGGAGATAGCTAGTGGGAAGGCACAGGGGCAAGAGGAATGCTTGCTCCGGCTGATCCCGTCTGACCCTCATGAAGCAGCTACCTTAGGATTTCTGGTGGCACACGCTCACATAGTCGTAGGATCTCCGTTTCCATAGATGACGCGTTTCAAAACTTATCGTGGGTACGCTATTGAATCGGTCGCTACAGCTCTATCCCACTTTTAGTCTCAATATGTCTCGTTCGCTCTCTTCGTCACGTGATGCTATATGATCCGATTTGTAGATGTAACCATTTCGATCGATAACAAAAAGTATACGTGTCTTGTCTTTATGAAAATGTAATAAAAGGTGGACTTATTACACTACAACCAATCAGACCTATATTTCTTTCACTAGCCAACTTCTCATCTCTATACAATATATAATCTATGGAAGAAATATAGCGAGATCGTAAAATCGGTCAGGCGTCAAAGTTTACGCGTTCGAGCATATCGACAAGAGAAGATAAAAAAAAGCCGAAATCTCAGCCAGGGTCGCGTGAAGTATACTTTAGCTTTGATCCAGGCCTAATCGAAAAACGGAAAATGTCGCATTCGACCCTGTGGTGTTATTATATACATCAATGGGTGCCGCTATTTCAAGCTTTAATTTACATCTCTGTATTTCTTCCATTAACTATACGCGATGGGCAATTTACAGAATTACCGCACAAAGTTCGACGACGAGTATTTATTTACCGTGTTTTGCAGACGCCTCGCTTACCACTGATCTCGGAACAGACTCCGCGATGAATGTTAACCCTTTCGCTGCGGAAAATTTTAGTACATAACTCGCGTGCAAAACTCCACAACGGCCGCAAAATCTTTTTCGGTCGTATCATTTTAAAATTTGTTTTACTGAATTAATGCAGAAGAGTGCAAAGGAGAAAATTAAGACTTAAATTAATACGGAAGTGCGCCAAAAGACTCCAACAACACAATGCGAACAAATTTTCAAAGCACCTATAGGCGTCAATAGCAGTGAAAGGGTTAACGTAATGTCTGCGCTGGTTTTTATATACACTCACTTTTCCTCCAGGCATTCTCACATTCACACACACACACACACACTCCATATCTTCGCCTTTCGGTGAAGATCATACGGCGTACCGTCGCGGCTCACGTCTTTGACAATACGCGCTCTATGCCGTAACGACTATCGCGTCGGCAAAACCAAAGAGCACGTATCCATGACGGTTACCGCAACGGTCGCAACCACAGCAACAAAATATAGTCGCTTACTAAATCGCACCAAATGCTTCGATCTTTTCATGTAGCTGGCCGCGAAAATTTCTTCCAACCCATCTGGTTTAGTACGAAGGGTGTGAACAAACGAGGGTTGAAATTGCCAAGCTGAAACCTCCCCTTGGACTGGGCCATCTGTGACTCGACGCACAGTTTCATAATAATTTTTGACTCCTTCGAACATTTCTCTTTATTCATCATGTCTGTCGATTTTTCAAAAAGAAAATGATTTTTTTCTTTGGTGTAAAATAATTTTGTTTCTTTTTTTAAATATGAAGAACAATTATCTGAGAATGTTATACAATAAAGTAGATGTACGCTAGAAATTCGATAACGTCGACAATTCTAAAAATTTTTAATTAAAGTACTTTAATTAAATAGGCTTTGTTTTTATAATTAAGAATTGCTGCTAGATTTGTAAAAAAAATTAGACATTTCTTCCGCACTGTAAAGTCTCTCTATGTTTTTATTTTTCACACTAACAGTATATTTCCTTCTTTTATTGTAACATTTGTTTAATAAACTGTGATGCGTTTAATCTAATAGAAATATTATATCTCAGTTTAGTTCAACCGTAGTAAGTTCTATTTTGGAACTTCCGAATTTTCGATTTTTCAACTCATTGCGAGCAATACGGATATATACGATGCAGAAGCTTTCATAATCTAAAAATATATAAAATAAGATGATTTTATTAAACCACAATCAATTTTATATACAATTACGACATTTTACTAACTTAATTACAAGTTAAACTATTAATCACATTTTTGAAACATTATTTAAAATATCACATAATGTCTTTCGTAAAATTTGTATCATTACAGGTACATAGAAATAAATGAATTTTTTAAAAGTCTCAATTATTTAACAATGTCGGCAAAAACTGTTCTCACAGTAATAAATAATTAAAATTAGCGAATACAAAGTATAATTAACTTACGCCTGCAAAACTTTCCATGGAAAGACTTGCAAATTTTCCAAAAGTGAAAGTAAATCCTTTCTGTGATCGTAGTATTACAAGCAACATAAGTCGGCTTTCCTTCGAATGCATATTATACCAAAGAAATTCATACGCCGTGTCTCCAATCAGTTTACTCTGAAAATCAATGATATTTTAACAACGATGTATTCAAAAATATGTACAATTATACAGAGTGTCCCAACAATCCATAATCCATAAATTTTATCTCAAATAAAAATATAGCATCACGTTTAAAAAAAAAGAATAGAGATGACCTTGAAGTCACCTCTACGCCTCGACCTATGTGAAAAATATTTACATCACATTATTGTTGTATTTTTACATCACATTATGTCCCCCTCTATATCTGATTTTCCCCCTCCATTTGTATATAACATTTTTCCATATTTTACAAATAATAGAAATATTCCAGGTGGACAGAGTTTTTGTCCCACCCGGTATATACGAACATGTTATTTATTACATTACTCTAGGAAAATAATATACAATCAGAAATCAATTATTTTATATAGTATGTTATTTAACGACCTTGATATTAAGGTACTCTCCAGCAAAGCAGTATATGAACGCTTCTGAGCACACAGCCATGTAATATACAACAAATTTGATCAACATTTTAAATCCATTATTATTTTGTAGTGCCTGTAACGTTAAATTCGATCATCTATAGTAGAATAAAGGAAAGAAAATTTATTTTGGTTTCGATCATTATTTAATTAACAAGCGTCACTTACAAATGCGATAATATAACCCACGCAGCAAGTAATTAGGGTATTCGAGAGAAGTTGACTAAGTGCTAGATACGTAAACAGTTTTTCTATTCTCTCTGCAAATATGATGATCTGTTGATGTCTGCTGATGAAGAATCTCAGTTGAGTTTTATTCTTATAAGGAACCTCCTTTAATGTCTGGCACATAATATCGATTTGACAACCTAGATGAAGCACCTAAAGGTAATGGATTCCACACTGCTACAAAATTGTAGAAATAAATCTCGTCAAATTGTAATTTCAGTCAACTTTTGCATACTTTTAAAGTAAGGCACATAACAGTATTTCCAATTGGATGGATTGAGAAAACAAAGTTTTCAATTAGGTACATATTATTAGTTTATTTCTTTGAAAATTTTCTATTTGAAACAATCAAATTGGTTTCTCTGATCTAGCAACAATGACTTATTTACACAAAGTTTAAATGTTGGATCATTTTATACATTCAACTTACTTTCACCTCAGAATGTGATGTGAAAGTAAATTGTTTAATTATATATATATTTATGTCGTTTCAAATTTAGCATAATTGCAATTTTTATCTTCGATTATAGACTCACGATTGACATGTATATTTATTGTAACTTCTAATTTTTTCATTTCTCTGTGTCGGGGATAAATCTGACACTTGCAATCATGTGAAACACTCATACAGGGTCTCCCATTACGGTAGAGATTCGATTATCAGAACGATCGATTAACGGAAAATTCCATTAACAGTTGGCAGCTGAGAAAGATTGGGAAATAAGAATAGAGACATACAAAATTGCTAAACTTTTGTTCAAAAGTTTTTGTTTTAGGTTAATATTAGTATTTATAAAATATTTCGAAATAAACGATCTTCTTTCGTGAAAAAAACAAAGTTACTCGATTATCCGAAAAATCTGATTATCTAAACAACGTATGTCATAATTAGTTCGGATAATCAAGATTCTACTGTATAATCTTTCCACGTGGTTATTTGTCAAACTTTCGTAATTCGAAAGAACGTTTCAGATGAAACTTTGTTTCAAAGGAGACACTCTGTTATGAATGCAACTTTCTCCTAGGTAAAGGTAACACCGAAATTTCAAGGTGACCTTTATCTTTTAAAGCAGAACTATACAGGATGATGCATCTAAAGTGGGCCACTTTTGAATAAAAATTAATCTGTAGATCTCTACTACACTTCCATCAGTAAACAAAAAAATTGCCGTCGTATTATATTTTTGTTGAAACCAAACGGCTTTTGTAAGTAATATTATCGCTTTTTACTTTCAATAATGAAGATATTCCTGGTGAACAGAGTTAGTGGGACACCCTGTATATATGTACAATAGTTTCATTTGAAGAAACAAAAGTCACCTTGAATACTAGAAGTCGTCCCACCGAGAAAAAAAAGGTTATGTTCGTCAGAGGATGCTCTCATCCAAGCAACGTAAGTTCCATCTGAAATATTTTTCTAAATAACGAACAACATTTGGGAAATTATCGCATGGAAAGATTACAATGGGACAGTCTAGTATAGGAATATTTCAGCACGTACCACGAAAATGAAAATGTCTCAGTTATTATGCTATATTTATAAATGAAAAATTCCAAAACATACTTCCAACATAAATGCACGCGAAATACTTCCTAATGAATGAATAAAAATTTACTACTGCATACAAAGGAACATTTCGATACTGATGAAACTTCGGCATATGTATAGTAGTATTCAAAAAAATATTCGACACGTATTTTTTTTTTAACGGAAATCGTCCATATTGAAACGGTGAAAATTGCTTTAAACTACTTGAGATAATGATTAGTGAATTAGTGATAGCGATAGTGAAGTAGTGAAAATAAAATTATTTAAAAAGTGTGAGCTCTTTTGAGTGAAATGAAAATAAACTCATAACCGTACAATAACGAGTTCTGGAAATGAAAATTTATTTAGGTTGGCAAGCCACGTCGAAACTGACCATAATTTGTAATTGCCATCAACAATATATCCGTAACTATTAAATTTCCAACAAGATATTTCGCTTCCAAAATCCACTCCTCAATTTTCGTTTACTCATCAGGAAATATCCCTTACGTATGCATTAATTAAGGTTACCTAATCTAACCTTAAAATCGGTTTTCTTAACGGAAATATCCCTTTAACTTGAAAAACTACAATAATAGATAAATTAAGAATTCGCATAAATTACATTCGATTGTGTCAAAATATAGTATTGATTTATGTAAATTCAATATTGAAAGTTTAAATTAAATAGAAAATATTTTAATCGAAATAACTGTCTGAGATCAGTTTACAGTTGGTACTTACCATCATCAAAAGCAGACTGCTGAATACACCAAACGTAAAAGCTGTCGATACTTTGCATAGGTATTGTAAAACTATTACCAGCTCGTAAATAGGCGAATTGTTCGTATTAAATGGCAAGTCCATTTTTATCAAAAGTTCTCGAGGTGCTGTTATATTAGTCCTTTGTGGCGCCAAAACTCCAATTGCATAACATGCCGTGGATGATACACAGATACATATCACTATATTGGTTAATCGAAAAGATAGATGTGCTGTTTTTGATATTAAATTTTTTGTATCAAGAACAGCGTACTTTTTACAGTCTTCTTCCATGGTCGAGATAATGTCGTAAAGTAGACTGTGAAATATTATTTTAAACATTAACTATTTTCGTAAAGATATTATATTCGGTGACATTTATAATTACATACTAATATTTGAATTACTTAGGTGGTTTATTTATAATCAATACCGGTTAAAATTTTAAGACGATTTCAAAATTTGTTGATTTTAAATTTTGCAAATATTACAGCAACTAATTAAAACTCAACAAATGCGATGATTTTATTGAAATATTGTTAAAATAATCTGACTACTGAATTGAAGTTCTTTAAGCATTGTAATTAAATGATTAAAAAATCAGTTCATTCATAGGAAAAATGTACTAATTTATAAGTACTGAAATTTATGCGTTTACGAATTAAAAAGTAAAATAATATATCGAAGAGCAATATTTCAATAAGTGTATAAGTTAGTTTTCACACATACACAAAATAAGAAAACTCACCCGCGATGTGTCCAAGCAACAAATAATTTGATGCACACTAAAGTGAATGGCATGCAAATGCTCAAATTATCTACTGTATCCACAAGAGTGTTATATTTATAATGCCTGATCACGTAGCCGTACTGATAAATTTGAAGTCCACACATGACAATTGTCCAAAAAAATTTATGTAAAATCAACGATGGTGTTCCTGGCCAAGAGGCAGCATAACGGAGGCCATGTTTTACAGTTTGACTTATCGTATTAATCGATGTCATTTCATAAAAATTCACTATTCCTCTTTGCCTGTGCTAGTTTCAAATTTTTTTTTTTTAGAGTTCGTAAAATTTCATTAAATATGCGCCATAGTATCAATTTTAAATAATCATCACTATCACCGTCAAAATTTTGAAAACATCAACGTGCTTCGTCAGCGACTTACGACAGACTGAAAACTTTGTAACAAAGTTATTGTAGAAGAGCAAGCTTCGAGAACTTATCCGCTCGGGGAAAACGTTTGTTTTGCACTCGCGGAGATCGTATGAATATTACAGGTAATATTACAGTGATTATGGGTTTGCTGGAAACAAATCAAATCAAGGGAACTCTGCAGAAGTTCTAATTTTATCTTTGTTGCAATGGTGAATGATTATCATAAAAAATGCAAGAGCGTTGCAAATGGTATATGAATACATATTAAATTACTTGTGGCACAAGTTCGGGCTAATTTATAAAGTTTCAACTGAACAGAAAAAGAAAAATTAAGAAATAGTAGGCTGAATAAAAATCTTCATAAGTTTATACTAAATTGAATGTAAAATAAGTGAAGTGTCATTTTTTATTGCATGCATAATTTAACTTTTTGACTTTTGCCATGTGTACTTTGTAAAGAGTGATAATGATAGAAGTGACATGTACTGTAAATTAAATTTTATTAAAACTTTACTAAAAACTGCACAATTTTCACCTTTTACGTTTACATTTTGAAGGAAAATGGATACATGAAGAGATTCGAACTAAATTTTAATTAAAGAGTTTGAATTTATATCATATTAAAAGATAGCAACGAAAAAGTATATTTTTCTGTAATCTGGTTTCTGGTATTCAAGAAAACTTTAACTTCGTAAATAAATAAGATTGTAAGATTAATACGTAACACGTAACACGCGTTTAATTCGATCTTTTTAATTAAATTTAAAGAATATATTTTTTGTTTATCTATAATGAATATAGTGGAAGAATACGATGGTATTGATTATACCATCCGTCTCCTAAATAAATCTTCATTTCCTTACGGTTATTATAAGATTCATTAATATTATACGAAAATACAGCAACTATAAAGTGTATTACTAATCACTTTAAAGGTGTTAATGCACACAGGTGTTTTCGACACGAAATGTATTTTTTCTCGTCACATTTTAGCAATTTACGCGTTTTACATGCAACGTACTATACATATGTTGCAACGCTTCCGCGCGATGAAATAAGTAAGAAGCAACACTGTTTGCATTGTCACGTGCGATGTGTGACGTTATAGCCATTGAACTGCACGAGCATGTCCTACGTGCTGTTACGTAGAAAAAAAGTGTACACAACAGAAATGCAACTTTTGCTCATTGTCGATTTTACTGTACAAAAATGTTGCAGCATATAACACGCTGCATATAAAACGCGTAAACCATATGCAACAAGCTACTACATGTGCAAAACATCCGTACATTATCACCGTTTTGCAATATTCCGATTGAAAGCGAGTTTAGACACGTTTTTATCTTGCAAGAACTGAGCCTGCGTACTGCACTAAAGCGCCCTCTGTATATTTCCTCGTTCTTGCTCCTATAGTTCGGTATGAAGGCCCCGACCCCATGCTCGGCCATTCTGCGCTGAGATTCGCTTTCGAAAGTCTATTACACTAAACGCACTGTATTTACACAACTAACTCACAATCAGCGACACTTAAGTCGAAATTCTCTGTCTCCCTCAACTCTTTTGGGATATGTGCAAACCTCTTTTCACTGGATTTTCTACACAAAATTACGCTGCAATCTCTTCAACTACGATTTCTATACTGTGATTTTCTCTACACTGCGATTTTCTCTACACTGTGGTTTCTATGTTACTAATCTGTCGTCACCACTGCTTTCGCGTAATCGTAAGTGCCTTCATCTTATTTTTGACACCACTTGTAGGAACCGAGGAAAAATTTAAGGGACCCAAACGGGAATTGAGAACGCGCGCGATTCCGGCTAACAAGCCAGGAGTCTGCGCACTGCGCCTCTACATATATTTTTCCTCGTTCTTGCTCCTGTAATTTGATATAGAGGCCCTAATACTACAATTATAAATAATCAAATTCTCAGTGCATATTTAATTTATTTTCTGTTATTAAGTGTGCTCGTACATATATTTTTATTTATATGTCAAAGACAAATTGTTTTACATTATAATAAATATTGATTTACCATTAACCTAAATTAAAGCTAAGTATTAATTTACCTATACATCAAAGGAGACTACACGTAATTGTAACTTGATTCTTCAATACACTGCAAGAAGTACTGATATATATGATGCTGAGACTTTCATGATCTATAAATATAGAAGATAGAATCACTTTGTAAACTAGCGTTTACGAACAAACGATATTTTTGGTATCTATATTTTTACAAACAAAAAATGATTTTCCTTCACGAATACATAATATGAACATGTATAGGTAACAATAAAAATCATAGAATATAAAAAATAAGTAGCTTACGGCCGTAAAGCTTTCCAAGGAGAGACTTGAAAATTTTCCAAAAGTAAACGTGAAACCCTTTTGAGACCTCAATATTACAGGTATTAGAAGTTGGCTTTCAGTTGAACGTAAATCGTACCAAAGAAATTCATACGCCGTATTGCCGATTAGTTGGCTCTAATGACGAAAGCAACATTTTAAATACATAATACAAAGAACATATACAGGGTGCACCATTTAACACGTTCATCTGAATAATTCCTAAACTACGCATGGGTTGAAAAACTGTTACATACAAAAGTGACAGGATTTTAAAAGAAGCATTACGTAACGTATGTATTTTCTTTGTAGATAGTGGCGGTTCGAAGATTTGTAGGTTAACTTCCTTCTTTTTTTAAATGGAATGTTGTATTTTTTATGACAGAATTCGAAAGAATTAAAGTATTAATAATTATTGGACTTAAATCCAATAGTTAACGAGATATTTTGCTTCGTTTATCGAAAACTTTCTTCGTGCAACATCAAGTTGGAAATTCAATATCAGCAAAGACTTTATTAACACAGCGGTACTTATTTGGCGATGTTTATCAACATGGGTAGTCTAATTCCCTTAGCTAAAGTATACATTCGAAATGTCGATTCTTTCGAATTTAGTTATAAAAAATTCATTTTATTTTAAAAAACGAAGTTGAAGCATATAACTTTTGTATAAAACAATTTTACAACCAATAGGCTTATTCAGATGAATGAGTTAGGTGGCGCACTCTGTATACAGGGTGGGACACAATTCACAGTGTAGTAGAAAAAAGGGTGACCCTACATGAAAAAAAAACGAAAAATAATAAGTAAAATATTTGGTGTAACGTTTCTTCTTAAAAAAATGTTTCAAATAGCCAGCGTGGAAGTAAAAAGTATAAAAGATTACTCACATTATTAGTAGCAAATAAATAACAATAGAACTTTGATAAAAATATAAGGACACATAATCAATATAATCTAAAAAATTATGTTATTCAGCATTAGCTTAACTTTTTCTATTGCTGTTCTGTTTTCTAAACAAAAAATCATCTGTTAAAAAGAAATTAACATATCAACTGTTTTTGTTTTCTTCATTATTGTACATTTCACAGGGAGATATTGTGCAGCTAAAGACCATTTCGTATCGTATATTATTTAATGACCTTGATACTGAGATATTCTCCGACAAAGCAGTATATAAACGCTTCTAAACAAATAACCACATAAAATAAAAGAGATTTGAGTAACAGAGGAACTCCATTGTCGATATGTACTGCCTGTAATATTTATTTCCTACACAATATCACGAAAAAATAACACATCGTTATGGATAAGAGTTAATATAGAGAAGCTTACTTACAATTACAACGAGAAATCCTACGCAACATATAATTATCGTATTGGACACAAGTTGACTGAGAGCCATGTATGTAAAAAGTTTCTCAATTCTTTCTGCAAAAACAATAATTTCCTGATGTCTGTTAATGAAGAATTTTATTTGTTTTCCGTCTTTGAAGGAAACGTCTAGCAAATTTCGGCACATGATGTCGATTTGACATCCTAGATGAAGTACCTAAAAACAATGACCCCGATAGACTTTACATAAAATAGAATTTATTATTATTGGTAATAAATATTCAAATTTATTATTAACGATAAAATAGAATTTGTATAAAAAAATGTTTAAAGTTATTATCAATAATGAAATAGAATTTATATATAAAAAATGTTTAAAGTTATTATCAATAATGAAATAGAATTTATATATAAAAAATGTTTAAAGTTATTATCAATAATGAAATAGAATTTATATATAAAAAATGTTTAAAGTTATTATCAATAATGAAATAGAATTTATATATAAAAAATGTTTAAAGTTATTATCAATAATGAAATAGAATTTATATATAAAAAATGTTTAAAGTTATTATCAATAATGAAATAGAATTTATATATAAAAAATGTTTAAAGTTATTATCAATAATGAAATAGAATTTATATATAAAAAATGTTTAAAGTTATTATCAATAATGAAATAGAATTTATATATAAAAAATGTTTAAAGTTAACTTTGCACCGCTATTTTTATAAGGCTTCGAGAAATGGTTTTTTGCCGTCATTCCGACGTTTGTATAAATTTTTGAAAAAACTGCAATTAGTCGGAATCGTGAAGAAAATAGCGAAGGTCGTTTTTAACGCGTGAGCCTCTGTTCTTCGCCCCTGAGTGCGAGCTCTACGCGCGCTCCGATTGGCCAGTGTTTTTCGTTAATAATTCAAAAATGAAGCTTCAAACAACATTTTGGTAAAGGAAAAAGTTTTTCAGAATCACCTCAGGAACCCCCCATTTCCGGGTGTTCGAGGAGTTACGGGACACCCTGTATGTACATGTGTAGGGGAGAGTCGTGCAGTACCGGCCAAAGCTAGATCTCACTTATACTGCTAGTTGACTGCTCTATTGATGGATAAACAAATAAATACTATAGCCCAGAGCAACGTATTCCAGCGACGTTCTTTTTTCTTCAGTATTACCAGAGTTCTAAGACGTTTAACGTTTACGCTGTTGTTCCGTGCGACAAAAGTTATTTTTCATAGCTGATTTCTAACTTTTCAGGTAATTAAATAATTTTGTTATAGTACGTACATTATTTTTAGACTATTAGGTATACATAAATGCCCCGGTTTGTGCAGTTTGCTTTGTATATTATGCATTAAACCTAAAAGTTTTTCCACGTGCTTGTCGTCCAGTACCGGCCAAATTTTTTTAAAAATTTTTTAAGGCTTTTCTTCTTTGTTTTTCTGCAGAAAAGTGTCCGAAATGAGCAAGCGTATCTTCTGATTTTATGAAAATTGTTAGAAGCATCAGTCCTGCAAATAATATTTCAGAAACAAGGATAACACAGAGAAAACGACGGACGCGACAGTTTGAAATTCTAACATTAGTATCTTTTATAGAAGATGTTCAGGAAAAAAAGAAACTGGTTAATGAGAAAAAATTGACAGCAAAAACAAGATAAGCTGTGAAAATACTAAAGAAAAATGAAAAAATCAAGCGAGGAAGGAAGTTACGAGAAGAGATAAGTAAGAAAAAAGATAGCTCACGAAGAAGGAACCTAGGCATTGACAAACAAGTCACAGAGTGCATCATTTGTAAAGAATCCTTCAACGAAGATTGGGTGCAGTGCGTCAAATGCAACGGTTGGGCTCACATGGAGTGTACGGATCAAGAAAATTTCTAAAGGGAGATGGGAAGGGAAGAAAAGTCCTATTCTATTTTTAAATGATGTTTACTAACGTTATTTATTACTTAGACCTTCAAATCTACTAACTAAGTAGCTGGCCGGTACTGTACGACAAGTTTTCGTTCGCTGCAAATTACAACTTTTCCATTTCTACGAATTATTTATCTTTATGAGAAAATTTAAGAAGAAACATTTGTCCCCTTTTATCAAGCACCCTTTGTACTACAAATTACTTTTTTGAAATTTCATTTTAACCAACATTAGCCCAAGTTATAGCAGAAAAACTTAGAGTGGCCGGTACTGCACGACTCTCCCCTGTATCATCTCATAAACCTAATGTTAGGTCATACTGCTTTCTTCAAAGTCATTATTTAAATAAATATAAATTATTCATACTTACCACCATTAAGAGAAGAGCATTGAATGCACCGTATGCTACGGCCACTGATAAGTGAATAAGGACCTGTGTAGTTACTACAAGTTCGTAATTCGGCGATTCGCTGGTCTCGAAAGGCAAATCCATTTTCATAAGGAGCTCCCGAGATACTGAAGCATTATTTCCTTGAAATCCAATAGTATTAGTTATGTAAAATGCTGCAGATGCCATATACAAAGACATAACAATGCTTGTTAAATAAAAAGATAGCTGTCCGGTTTTTGACATCAACTTATTTATATCTATAGCAGCATATTTCTGACAATCCTCTTCCATGGTTGATAAAATGTCACTAAATACGCTGTGAAATATCGTTATTTTAGACAAAAAAAAGTTACTTCGATACCATTTCCTTTTTACAGTGAAAAAAATTACATTTATAAATGACTAAAATTCGTAAGTAAAATATGAAAAAGTTTTACGGTTCGTCTATAATAGATCGACAATGTTAGGAAAATTATTTATAAGCAATTTAACCATGTTAATAATTTCATTATCGTTTCAAATTGTTTTTAGCTATTGTTTCAGTAACGCGCGTGGCAGACGGTAGATGTGTGCAAATCATGTAATAAGCTCGATACCACCTCCTTCTTTCTTATCAAAGCCCTGCAAAATAATGATCAATATATGACACATACTTTACAATTACACCATTTTATAATTACCAAAGTTAGTTAACATTTAAAATAAAAAGAGACCTTCATAAATTGACTTAAACGTTTACCTGCGTATCGTATAGACTAAGTACAGGATAGACCTATTATGTCATAGGACCTTGTGTCACATGTTCTAAAATACCGATCATGAAAAAATTCAGTTGTTACATCCTCTACGATTTTGAGCGATGAGTTTAAAAATTGTACTGTATGGAAGAGCTATAGTGAGGTCACAAATCACGAAAAGATCGCGAAAACATCGATTGATCTAGCCGCACGCAGGGCTATACGCGTATTCTAGAAGCTCTTCAAATCTCAAGTCACACGCGCCGAGCGAAAGACTTGAACCGTCGGACAACGCTTCTAGTGGCCAAGTCGCTGCCATGACTGAATCAGTATAGACCTACATCTATCTTATTTTGTTTTCATCATTTAGGATCCTGATTCTTTTCTTATGGTAATTGATATTTCGGCTCCGCTTTAATCATTGAGACAATGGAGGCAAGGAGGGCGTGTCATACCTTGGTCAAAAGCTTACGCCTCAAGAATTACAACAGTGGTGGTCCGGATTGCCGGAAACTCGTAGTGTTGCGACCTCATTAGGGCGCAACGAAGCCTCGGTTTGGCGGATTATCGCAATAAAATGTGTTAGTCACCGTAGACCCCCCGTGGACGAACCACGGCGGCTATAAAGATTGAAGATATTACTTTTATCTACCGATTAAAAAATACCGGTATTTATTTCGGTTTCGTTGTAGCTTCATTGACATAATACCGGTATCAAAATCATACCGGTTTGAAGTCCCTGATACTAACAGTAAAGAACGATAATGTATCCTCGTACGTGTGATACACACAATTTCATTTAGGTACGTGAAAATTTTTATAATTTATTTTGAGAAAACGGATGCACTTGTAATATATTGTTCCTTTCAAATCTTTTATCCTCTCGACAAGTAGAATATGCAAAAATTTTTAAAAAAGTCAACATTAATTTTCAACGTATGTATATTCTGCCATACGTTTATAACTTAAACAAAATGTTATATACAAAAGTTGTTTGTTTTCTAACGTAGATTACAGAAATGATTTGGCTTACTTAGAATTTCCTTTGAAATTTTTTATTCAACCCCCGTTTCATCCTCTATAAGCGTAAATGTTAATCAGTATATATTTGTCATAAAATTTGAGACTAGAACGATTAAAATCAATTGAGTAGTTTTTGAAATATTGATGTATAAATTGTTTTCACTATCATATAGTATATGTACTTATGTTTACAAAATTATAAGCATGAACGAAATATAGCATGTTTCATATATTTAATTGTACCTTCGCTCACTATTAATGTTGTAAACAATAGAAGTGATAAGAAAATGATAATGCCTTAACATCATGTGACACAAAAATCCATTACACATTAGGTCTATCTAGTACAGGGTGTTCCATACAGGATGTTCTATACAGAGTGTAACTATTGGTAGAAAATTTAGGGGGTGATTCTAGAAGCCGATATTAGACGAAAATGAAGAATAGAAAAATTGCGTTTGAAGCTTCGTTTTTCAGTTATTAACGTTTTAAAATATCCCCGTAACCGAGCAACCGTCCCGACACCAGCGAATATAGGGCACGTCAAGGCACCGGGGCTACGGTGACCCTTAAAATCAACAACACATGGCCGGGGCATCTCACCTCGTACAAATCCTAAGGGAAGTTTTTCAAATGTGTTCTGCAAACAGAATGTACACTATGCACGCAACAAATGCTAAAACCACTAAAAAACAATCGCTGTACGAAATGAGAACTAAACAAAATCAGAGAAAATTGAAAAAACTGAAGAAAAATAAATTAAACCTATATTAAAAGTACACTAAAACGTAATTTTATATACACTTTAATAAACTGCCAGCTAGCGTTGACAATATCATGCTCCTTTTTTCTTCCTGGCAGTTCAATGTACTGGTCAAGAAACTGCAAGCTTATCTCGATAATATTTCTGCCATTTTCCAGGATTGGAAGCTTATGATCAACACAAGTAGAACTTAGGCCATCTACTTCATCAGAAGGAAGCCTCCCAAGGACACTCTTAAACTGAAAATCTTCGGACAAGAAATCGACTCGTCTCTAATCAGGTGCGATACCTTGACATCATTTTATTTGTGCAACTAATGAAAATTCTATCGACTAAAATTTCAATGGTAATATGAATCGATAAAACGTAATATTATAGGTTTTTATTACCTTACATAATATTATTTTCGTACATATAATCCACTTTTAATTTTCATTATGCAATTATACTGCAGTATTCATGGTTTTCCCTTTGTGAAATGCTACACTGTATAATTAGTACATCGCATACAGTACAGATATGTACGATGCAGAAGCCTTTAAGATCTAAAAATTTTAAATAATTAAAAAAATTAAATATAACGAAACAGTAAACATTCTTAATTCGTAAATTTTTTTAGGAACATATAATTATATCGATATGAACAAATTAAAAAAAAAAAAACTACCATATCTTTACAGTAGATAAATAATCGGTAAATATAAAATTAATTTAATACCAAAATAATTCTTCACGATTCGTCGTATTTAAATGTACCCGTTTACGTGTCCCACCCGGTATATTGTGCCTATTGTTACTCGAATTTAAAAAGAGTTTAAAACCATAAATATTCCACCGTCTCCAAATAAAACGGATGCACGGTATTCATCAGATGTGCGTTAATTTATTCTCTTTCATAGCATATGCATAACATAAGAAAAAAGTAGACTTACATTTGCAAAACCTTCTAAAGACAAGTCCATAAATTTTCCAGCGGTGATTGTTAATCGTCTTTGAGATCTTATCATGAGAAGAATAATGATATGTCTGTCTTGAGGATCCAGAAGGTACCAAGGTGAGCTATATGCTGCATTGCTAATTGATAGACTCTACAATCACACAATGTTGCAATTTTTTTTACTATACGTGCTTAATTGGTCTCCGCTTTAAATTTTTGACGCGCAGAATTTTAAGACAAAATAAAGAGAGACTCTAACTGCAGAGAAATTTTGTTTAAAAAAAATATAACTACACTCTGTCCAATTTAAGAATAACCTCGCTCTCGGACCGATCTCCGTTCGTTCTGCGCATAGACAGAGAGCGTAGCAGAGGGTAAGACGGAGAGAAACGTAGGCGGTTAAGTGGGGGTTTGGACGTTTTAGCCCTGCCTTAGGCACGTCCCATGCGCGAAGCGAGGTTATTCTTAAATTGGACAGAGTATAACTATGAGTTACATACTAACTTTGTTACTGAGATATTCTCCGGCAAAGGAGAAGATGAATGCTTCCATAGTGATAGCGATGTAAAAGAGTAATGTTTTTATAAATGTTTTTATATTTCCATCTGTATTAAATGCCTACAACAATAAAATATTAATAAGAGATTAAGCTACTCTTGCCAGATTTAAGTATGCAATTGGGTCTCTTACGAGTACTATAATATTTCACTGTTAATATTTTTTAGTTATTCAATTTTTTTAGTTAAAACAGTAATGCAATTTATTTGAGTTAGTAAACAGTGAGTTTTAAACTAAAATTTAAACAATCAGGTCTTACGAGTGCTATGAAATTTCATTATTAATACTTTTTAATTATATTTTTTTTCAGTTAAAATATTAATGTAATTTACTGGAGTTAATAAGCAGTGAGTTTTAAACTAAAACGTAATCAGTTAGGTCTTACCAGTATTATGAAATTTCACTATTAATATTTTTTAAGTTAAAATAATAATGTAATTTATTGGAATCAGTAAGCAGAGAATTATAAACTAAAACTTAAATTAAAAATTAACGAAAATGTAATATTCGTAAATATTACTTACAATTACTATTAAGAATCCTATGCAACATATAACGAGCGTGTTACATAACCACTGCATCAAAGCAATGTATGAAAAAAGACTCTCGATAGAGTCCGAATTAATAATGATTCGATGATGTCTGTGAATTAATGATTTGGTGGTGTTTCTCGATAATCTGTGTTTCTCATCTTTAATAGAAATATTTGTCAGAGCTTTCTGCAACATTTCTATCTGTCCTCCAATATGAAATATCTAAATATCATTTATTGTATAATAGAGTATGTACAATCTTTCTTAACAACTTTCGTGACTTTATCTATTTCATTTAAATTCGAGACAAATTTAAGCGCTACAAAAACTTTAATAAAGATAAAATTTAATTTTAACTTCAAGACTTTAACTTTAAAAAAAGACCAGATTTTACTTTAACTTTAAGATTTTCACTTCAAAAAAGATAAGATTTATATTGCTTTTCAATTTCAAAATTATGAACGATATTTTTTTCCCTCAAACCCCACGGTTTTATTTCCAAAAATATATACTGTCCGACAAACCTAAAGTGAAGCCTCTGACGTCACAGCCTAGCAAAATGGAGGCAAAATAGGCGGTTCAGGTCATCCCCGCTACTCTTGGGTCTTACGCTGCAGGCGCTTGAGGGGAAGTTGCGCTGTAGGTAAATGGTTTAGACAAACGAATTCAAGTCAACTGTCGATAATGTAACACGCTGATAAAAGAACGGAAAACTAAAAATTATTTGGTCGCCTTGTCCTCTTACCTATGTTGGCGCGTAAGACATATTTAATAGCGCAGACGTTAATTTCTAAGCGACTCATACACAATAAATTGTTATTATAAAGGAAGCCTCAGGAAATGAATTAATATTTTTTAACAGTTGGAAAACTAAAATGTAAATATTTTTTTCCTATTCTTGAATAATAAAAGTAGATTTCGGCGCATTAAAAAATTGCTTAAGGAGCTAAAAAATTTCTGGCTGCAATGAAAAACAGCGTGCCACCACAGACCGACAGGCACTTTTTACAGCCAATAAAAGCCATCAAACAGCCACTATTTAATGTTAAAATTTTGAAAAATTTGACAAAATCAGACGACATGTCGTCACTTTAACCGTAATATTTCGGCTTTGTTTAAAGATAATATTTCGACCTTGGGCTCAATAATCGCTGCTACAGTTTCAATTGTTAATTTGACATTGTTCCCACTCATAGAATAATTTTGAAAAAATACCAATTGGGTTGCTTGAATTTTAACCTGTAAAATAAGCTTATCGAAATAATAGACAAATTTTGGGAACATGGGATAAAAAGATTAAGTTTACCATGATGCACGTCGTTTGGCGTCGCGCAGGCATCTGTTCACCTGTTTATGGTGTCTGCGCGACTTAAACTTAATCTTTTTCCGAGCGCTTGAATATATCATTCCGGTCAATTATCGACTGCTCGAACGAGACCCGATCGTCATCTATTGTTCACAGAAGAGTAAGTGCGATAGCCTTATTCTATCCCTATTGGCTTACCGACAGCGAGCCGTCGCAAGTTCCCCTACATCTCCCACTTTTAGGCCCTGCGTGACGTCAGAGGCTTCACTTTAGGTTTGTCGGACAGTACGTATCTTCAAGAAATACAGGGTGTCCCGTAACTCCTCGAACACCCGGAAATGAGCGGTTCCTGAGGTGACTTTGAACAACTTTTTCCTTTACCAAAATGTTGTTTGAAGCTTCATTTTTGAATTATTAACGAAAACCACTGGCCAATCAGAGCGCGCGTAGAGCCCGCGCTCAGGGACGGGCGAACGGAGATTCACCCGCGCGCTATCGCGAACGACGCGTACGCGTGACTTCTCGGTTATCGATCGCTGTCAAAAAAATTTCACTTTGCACCGCTATTTTTATAAGGCTTAGAGAAATGGGTTTTTGCCGTCATTCCGACGTTTGTATAAATTTTTGAAAAAACTGCAATTAGTCGGAATCGTGAAGAAAATAGCGAAGGTCGTTTTTAACGCGTTCGCATTTGTTCGCTCGCGCGCGGGTGAGCCTCTGTTCTCCGTCCCTGGGCGCAAGCTCTACGCGCGCTCCGATTGGCCAGTGTTTTTCGTTAATAACTCGAAAACGAAGCTTCGAACAACATTTTGGTAAAGGAAAAAGTTGTTCAGAGTCACCCCAGTAACCCCCTATTTCCGGGTGTTCGAGGAGTTACGGGACACCCTGTATATTAAGTTCAACAAATAGTAAATATTAATGTGAATAATAAATTGCAAAATTTTGTATTTGTTGTTTTCAATAATTTCATCGAATGAATCGAACAAATACAGCGACATTATTAATCAAATATACGATAAATACACTTTTCATTATTATAAATTCCAACGTACACTTACCAACGTAATTATCAAAGCATCTAACATACCAATAGCAGATGCATTTATCAACAGCTGAAGAAATTGTACAACAAATACCCATTGATACGTCGGTGTTTTGTAATACGCAAACGGGAGGTCCATTTTCATCAAAAGTTCTCGAGACTTTAAATCATATTCGCCGTCGTTGTCGTGACGCATAAACTCGAAAAACACGCTGGTATAAGCGAAAACGGCAATAGCATATGTGCTCATAATTACCTTCGAATAACGATACGCAAGTTCAGCTTTACTTATCATGGCGTTTATGTCAAATTTCGTTGATGAAGAATTACTCCAATCGTTAGACATTCCCACTAACATATTTTCGAATATTCTGCAAAATATTATCTCACGTGTATACTTCATTAATAAGAATTTTTTATTTTTTCTCTACGTCGAATCGTTTTCGAGACATTCTAATTAATAGTTTTCCAGCTTCGCAACTTCGAAGGGTAATCTTACCCTCTAGACATGAACATTGGCAACTAAAAAATAATACGTGTCTATTATTTTCGGATTCTCTAGCTGTCTGCAAAATTTCACGAAAATCGGTGTGTCTCAGTTGGACGATGACATTTCCTACATAAATTGCTAAGAAAGCGTAACATTTTAACGAGTATTTTCTTCGGCCATTGATGCAATCGAATTAAGCGCACAGAGTAATATAACAGTAGAATGATAACCCGCACAGAATAAAAATAAATAATGAAATCAGCAGAATTTCTTATTCGAGGATATTTTTATGAAACCACGAAAGTTATAGATTTTTCTAACCACATAACATCGAATGTTGCTGAAGTTAAAATTTTAATAAACATAATTTCTCTTATCCAAATATATCGTTTATTTCCTTAAATCGTTAATTAAGATCGTCAAGAGGAATAAAAATTTTACAACCCTCTACAATCCGATTTTTCTTGGTTCGTGGGAAGAAAAATTCCAGTTGATTGCACTTTTACGTTTTAATGGTGGAATCGTGAATTAATAATTATTATAAAGAAATTGGCTGGTGGTAATGTAACAGTACACCAATAGGTATAATACAATGGTAAAGCAATAAAAAAAATAAAATCAGATTTAAAGTATAGATGCATGGTATGTATACTTCCGAGTCACGTGGCGTTATAGAGGGTTAAGTTGCGTTACTTTTTTTTTATTGTAATGACAGTCACAGTATAGCTTAACGTTTAGTCGAAATTAACGAATAGTGTAGCTTACCCACGTTTAGTCCAGAAAATAATTAATTTGACATACAACAGACTGTAAGGTAAAGTAGTGCCGACGCTGTCTATTAAGTTCGCCAGATTACTACCATCGAGATGCTTTATTATATATCGATATTGGAATATTTGTACAACTGTCATAAGAATTATCCAAGTTACTCGGACGATAATTTCGTAAGATGAACCTGGCCAAATTCCAGTTAACCTTAGGCCAATTTCCACTGGGCGACTGATGCTTTTGTTATGCGACATTCTGTATGAAATAACAGAATATATTATCGTTTTTGTAAAATTCTACACATTTGTTGAATAATTTTCCTCACATTTGCATGATACCATGACGTTTCATGCCAAGACGACTGAATCCTGTATACTGAAAATGTCTCCGGATAGGTGTAACGCTACTTCTTACGTATTGGCCGCGTTTTCATCAAATATTCATGTGATACGATAAAGATACAAAAACTACAGTTACAACGTAGAAGTTGTAAATATATGATTAAAGGAAAAGAAGTTTAACCATATTATCCTTTTTGCATGCAATAGTTCTTGTAAAAACGTAGAGCATCGAATACATAAATGCGCTATCGAAGAAATCATAGCATGTTTTGTTAACTGAAGTGAGAGAAGAAAAGTTTGTGGAAAAGAAAATTTGATAGCAGAGAAGGGAGAAATAAAAAAGGAGCAAAATATATGAATAAAATGTTTCGGAATAAGACGTTCGTCAAAAAAAAAGAATTAGGTACGAATATGTCGAAATATTTTAAATTTATTACAATAATGTGTATATAAAAAATAATTAATTTATTACTTTATAACTATATGGTAATGTAACTAAAATTTGAAAAATGTTCGCTTAGCCCTTGGAAAGGTTCGATTTCGCTGTCGAAATGATTTTGTGCATCGAAAGCTTCCATCGTTAACCTTCCAACATTTTATAGATATCTGGTGAAGGCCGACTCCACTTTCTCTTTGACAATTTCAAGCTGGAGATAGGAAACAAAGGCACTGGCAAAGGAAGTTTGATGTCGTAAATTTTGCTTTCTGAATACGTACAGTAATTGTTTTTCAGTAGTTTGCGTGTATTGTGTGCATAATGTACGTTGTGTTTGCAGTACACACAATGGAATACTCATTTGAAGAACTTTTCGACATGCACCTGCATCTTGCTGAAACAAATGATAGTGCAGCAGAAGTTAGTAATGTCGTTTACGGTGCCGAATTTCATTATATTCTTCTCTATGACTTGTACGAAGTAAAGTACTCCCCGTGTCTTGACGTACCCTATATTCGTTGGTGTAGGGATGTTTGCTCGACTACAGGAATAGTTTTAAACGTTAATAATTAAAAAATGAAGCTTTAAACACAATTTTTTTTGTTCTTGATTTTCGTCTTCTATCCGCTTCTAGAATCATCTCCTGAATTTTCTCCTAAAAGTAGCTCAACACTCTATATATTCTTTTTAATTATAAGGGTCGGGCAAAATTTTTGTCCACCTAAAACATTTCCGCTATTTGTGCATAATGAAATAGTGACGATTAATGACAAACGGTATTTCACTTGTACGTAAAAAATCTACAAATGTTAACTACTCTTTGCAACATTTAATGCTTTTTCTTGTGTCTGCATAGTCATTGATGTTTCCTTTCTTAAAAGACTCGAAACCTGTTTACTATGATCTTTGACCGACTGTACCGCTCATACTATACTTGTGTATAGGTTGATGAAGAAAACCTGAAGGTTCTAACGCGCATGCCTGTGCAAGTAAGGGGAAAATAGGCGGGGACGCCATCCCCACTACTCTACAGTCCTAAACTGTCTCTAGATAAGTGGTTTTTAACCAGCAATCGGTAATGTCGCGCGCTGCTAAAAGAATAGGAAAGTGAAAACGTTATCTGCCCTCCTTGTCTTCCTACCTATTAGTGCATAGCACTTAACATGTAAATTTCTAAAAGATTCAAATTCAGTAAACTGTTATTATAAAGGAAACCTACGGAAATGTATCAGTATTTTTTTTTTTTTTAAATGCTTGTAAAGCCTAAAAATTTCCGACAGAAATAAAAAAAAGCATGTCACTATAATATACCGTTGCCGACTGCTCACAGGAGGCTCGATCGTCTTCTATCGTTCATAGAAGAATAAGGCGCTAGGCTTACTCTATCGTGATTGGCTGACTATCAGCGAAGATGTAACACGTTCTCTTCCATCTCCCTCTTTCTAACCCCAACTCCTCTCTGAACCTTCAAGTTTGCTTAGTCGACCTATAATCTTCTGCAATATATCACGAAACTGCTATCGAATTTTTTTATTTCATTCGCACCCAAAATTTCTCATTCTCGTCTTCGATATACTCAAGAAACGAGCGAACCGAAGAGAGATAACAGCCGGTGATTTTCTGAACACCTAAATAAGTAACATACATACATCCACGGATGTATTTCGGAACGCAGTCCAGAACCTCTGACGCTTATCCAGGCATTACTGTGTATAAATACGCGACAACAAACAACTATTTAATAAAAATAATTGTTCTCAAAAAGAATTCTGAAAATAGTAAAATTATACAACTAATATCAAGTATAGATAAACTCTTATTTCAAGAATACCTATCATGATTTTTCATACGCTTTGTAAAAGATTAGAAAAACAACACAAGGAGAATTAAATTGTTTTAATTATTACGCTCGACTTCCAGTTACATATTTCTATAAGTAACAAACTAAATGTACTAATTTATCACTGTCATATTTTTGTCCAAACGTTCTGCGTTTATATGCGCTCTTTCTTACGGTTTAAAGCCATTATTTCGAAACTTTAACACATTGCATGCAAAACAGATACGTACGAGGCTGAAGCTTTTAGCATCTAAAAATTTAAATCTACAATAATTATATCATAAAAATTACACGGATCGAAATGATTGGAAAATAATTTCATAAAGAAATTTTTATGTTTTACTTAGGTCACACTTATTCGATACCGAAAATTTCAATTTCTTACATTAGCAAATGCAGCCAAGGAAAGATTCACAAATTTGCCCGCAGTGAGTATTAACTCTTTCTGAGATCGTAATATTATTAATAATACAATACGAGCTTCTCGAGGTTTTAGATCGTACCAAAGAAAATTGTACACAGATTGTGTAATACGTTCACTCTAAAAAAAAACAAAACACTGTCAAAATATAAAATCTCCTCTTTTTTTCTTTCTTTTTGTGTGTACTTTTATTTCTTACCTTAGAGGTTAGATATTCTCCGGTATAACATAAAATGAATGCTTCACAATTAACAGCAACGTAATAGGGAAAACATTTCAGTATTAATCCAGTTGTCTGTTCCGTGTTCAAGGACTTTATTGTCAAAAACAACATTGACAAAGTTGAATATTTAATCGGATTTATTTATTTAAACTCACTATAAATGAAATTTACTTACGGTTACCAAAACGAAGCTTATGAAACAGATAACCAGCATATTCGATAAAAATTGGCATAATGATATATAAGTAAAAACTGTCTCGATATTTTTAGACAGTCGTATAATTCGTTGATGCCTAACAACGACATCCTTTATTGTCAGTTTTTGCGGTACTTTCTTCTCATGATTACGAGAAATGTCTCTCATGTTTTGACACAATAAATCGATCTGACCACCAACATGTAATATCTACAACAGTGAAGCTTTTCAAATGATTAACAAAAATATTAGATAAGTGTTAAAATCTTGATGCCTAATTATAAAATAAATATAGTAAAAAGTTATTTCAGTGTGAATGTATTTTAAATATATTTTAAGTATTTTATTACTTCAAAATACATCGAATCAATAAATTAAATTGTACTGCATTAACGAATTACTAATTTCGAAAACTATCTACGAAATTTTTTTTTGTGTAAATGTTTCAAATACAATGCATTTCAAATTTAATTATTTTATAATTATTAACTTT